CTGTGCTTTCCCTCTCATTGCCCTCACCCTGCTTTGACCCTTCAACCCACCCGTACCCTCGCTGCTGCTCCTTGGTGGGGCATCTCCCACTCTCAGGGCTGTTTGTAAAACCAGCCCCTGCTTGGAGGACTGAGCCCACCAAGAGCCAAGATAGCAGGCTCCTTTCTCCCCCCAATGTCTCTGGCTGGGCCAGTAACCTGGGAAAGCCCAAAACCCTCTGGAGCGGGGCACAAGCCAGGAAGAGCCAAATGCTGCATGTGCTGAAGCCACACACAACTCTGGCATAGGGAAACTTCTGCTAAGATCTAGCATAGTAGGGAGGAGGGGAGAACAGGAGCAGTTTCACACTCTGAACAGCTTAGCACCCTCTTCAGCCCTCCACACCTCTGACCCTGACTCTTGCTCCATCCCTAATGGTCACCTCCTCTGCTGAGCCACCTCTCTGGCTAGGTTTACTGAAGCCCCTGCAGTCAGGTTCCCTGAGTGCTGGTGCACAATGCATCCTGAGGACTTAACCCCTTCCTGCACACACTGTAGCCAGGGAACAGGAGGCAGCTGGTTATCTTGGTGGCCAGCAGCTGCCTGAGGATGTTAATTGCCTTTGATACTGTGTAGGAAGGAAGGGACTAGCTGATTTCAGCCATACTGGAATGGGGGCAAAATTTGGGTTGAGAGACTGTGACCCACCACACAAGAGCCCAGTGATTAGGGCATATAGGTCCAAGTAGGGTTGCCAGGTGTCCGGTATTGACCCGGATAGTCTGGTATTTTCGCCTCTTGTCCAGTAAAAAAATTCAGAAAATACTGGACACCTAAAATGTCTTGTATTTTCTGATTTTTTTCCTGGCCAGGAGGCGAAAATCCCAGGTGCTTACCTGGTTCCGTAGAGGAGCTGTCTGGCCCACAGCAGGAAGAAAAGATGGTGGATGGCCGCCAGCAGCCTGTTAGGACCAAAAAGCCTTAAAGGCATTTCTTAAAGGGACCATGCTGTTTAATAACTCTCGGGTTCCTTTTTTTTTTTTTTGATCAACAACTTTTGTCTCCCCCTTTTTTTTCTCAACAGACTTTTTTCACCAGTGTTTTTGTGTGTGGGGGCGGGGAGGGGAGGAGGAGGAAGGAAGGGGATGTTCAGTATTTTTGGTTAAACCATCTGGCAACTCTAGGCATGGGAAAGAGATGAGATCCTCCAGATCACCTTTCCCCCCCCCCATCCACAGCTCCTCACAGGCAGCTCCCATCCCTTCTCTCCTTCACAATGCTGAAACACTTCTTCTGGTCACATTCTGGGGAGAACCCTGGCTGAAATCTGGGAGGGGGGGGGAGAAGGGAGGAGCATATGACCCTGCATTCCCCACACCCATTTGTTGCCCTAGGAAGATGTTGTGCCAGGTATCAGGAGAGGCAGGTCCATCCTGGGAGCACAGCCAGGCATAAAGGACAGAGAGGGCTGGGTAGAAAGGGTGGGTCAGTCACCCCTCCCATGTAAGAGCAACGTACGGGAAAATGTGTGTGTCAGCTCTACTTGTTTGAACCCTAAAACTATAAAGATAAGAAAGTAACTGCAAGGAATCCAGTTACTCAGTGTTTCTTTTTAATGATGTTAATTTCAATGTATGATATATTCAAGTGAATTCAACAGCAATCAGAGTAATTTTACCATGTGTCTATATTATCATAGGGAACTATGGTCACCCTACTCCTAGGTCACAAAGAGATTAAAGTAAATTTACATAAAATTAAATAAAAAATGTTTTGGACACATAATGGTAAAAAACATTTAAATCCTAGAATACTAGAACTGGAAGAGACCTCAAGAGATCATCAAGTCCAGTCCCTTGCCTTCACGGCAGGACCAAGCACCATCTAGATCCATCCCTGACAGATGTCTATCCAACCTGCTTTTAAATATCTCCAGTGATTGAGATTCCACAACCACCCTAAGCAATTTATTCCAGTGTTTAACCACCCTGACAGTTAGGAAGGTCTGACTTAAACCTCCCTTGCTGCAATTTAAGCTCATTGCTTCTTGTTCAATCATCAGAGGCCAAGAAGAACATTTTTCCTCCCTCCTTGCAACACCCTTTTAGATACTTGAAAGCTGCTATTGTGTTCCCTCTGAGTCTTCTCCTTTCCAAACTAAATAAGCCCAGTTCTTTAAGTATTCCCTCATAGTTCAATTTTTCTAGACCTTTAATCATTCTTGTCGCTCTTCTCTGGATCTTCTCCAATTTCTCCACATCTTTCTTGAAATGTCGTGTCCAGAACTGGACACAATTCTCCAACTGAGGCCTAATCAGTACAGAGTAGAGTGGAAGAATGACTTCTTGTGTCTTGTTCACAATATTCCTTTTAATGCACCCCAGAATCATGTTTGCTTTTTTTTGCCCTAGTATCACACAGTTGGCTCATATTTACCTTGTGGTCTACTAAAACACCTAGATCCCTTCTGAAGTACTCCTTCCTTGACAATCACTTCCCATTCTGTATGTGTGAAACGGATTGTTCCTTCCTAAGTGGAGTACTTTGCATTTGTCCTTATTAAACTTCATCCTATTTACCTCAGACCATTTCTCCAGTTTATCCAGATCATTTTGAATTATGACCCTATCTTCCAAAGCACTTGTAACCTCTCTCAGCGTGGTATCATCTGCAAACTTAATAGGTGTACTCTACACCATCATTTAAAACACTGATGAAGATATTGAACAGAACCAATCCCAAAACAGACCCCTGCAGAACCCTGCTTGTTATGCCCTTCCAACATGACTGTGAACCGTTAATAACTACACTCTGAGAATGGTTATCCAGTCAGTTATGCACCCATCTTGTACTAAGCCCATCTAGGTTGTATTTCCCTAGTTTATTGATAAGAAGGTCATGTGAGACCATATCAAATGCTTTATTAAAATCTAGGTATACCATGTCCACCGCTTCTCCCTTATCCACAAGATATGTTATCCTATCAAAGAAAGCTATCAGATTGGTTTGACATGATCTGTTCTTTACAAATCCATGCTGGCTGTTACCTATCACTTTATTATCTTCCAGATGTTTACAGATGAATTCCTTAATTACTTGCTCCATTATCTTTCCTGGCACAGAAGTTAAACTGACTGGTCTGTAGTTTCCTGGGTTGTTGTTATTTCCCTTTTTATAGATGGGCACTATATTTGCCCTTTTCCAGTCTTCAGGTATCTCTCCCAATTTCCATGACGTTTCAAAGATGATAGCTAAAGGCTCAGCTTTCACCCCTATCAGCACCTTGAGTATTCTAGGATGTATGTCATCAGGCCCTGGTGACTTGAAGACATCTAACTTTTCTAAGTAATTTTTTTTTAACTTCTAAACCTACCCCATTTTCACTCATTCATTAAGTTAGACATCCCGTCACCATCAATCTTCTTGGTGAAAACTGAAATGAAATCATTAAGCACTTCTGCCATTTCCAAGTTTAATGTTATTGTTTCTCCCTCTTTACTAAACAATGGGCCTACCCTGTCCTTGGTCTTCTTCTTGCTTCTAATATCTTTGTAGAATGTCTTCTTGTTACCATTTATGTGTCTAGCTACACTGAACTCATTTTGTGCCTTTGCCTTTCTAATCTTGCCCCAAATTAAAAAATGCAATAATTACAACAAATGAATCATGACTTTAAAATGTTTGTATTTATTTCCATTTGATTCTGATATGATGAAAATGTCATGTACAGCCCCAATTGTAGTTTATAAGTAACTATAAATGCTCCTTAATTAGATAATAAATATTGTCATTATCGTGGTGCTTAGTATAGCTCTTAAAAAGATGAAACATAAGTTAACAGAAATTAATTATCATCATATAGTTAGCTTGGACTCAAGATGAAAAAACAAAATCTGTGAGTAACATCTACTTGTCAGAATCATGAAAAGTGAAGGTCAAAGTAACCTGTCATGTCCATACTCCTGTTAATATAA